CCCCATCCTCACCTAGGTTTCGTATCACGATACGTTGCTAAAATCCTTTTCGTTTCCCTTTATACATGTGCGGATCATCTGACGATACTTCAAAACTTACAATTAATGGAACTCTAGGTAAGGTTTCGTATTGTCAATCGGTTACGAGGTTCTATCGAGGTCTTGAGAGAAATTTATGAAGTTTGTAGGATTTTTACGAAAAGGCAAACGATCTTTCTTGTACTGCTCTAACAAACGACATGTGTAGTCGGCATCGACCGAAATAACCGGATGCTCGGATGAATAAGAACTAGCAGCGTATCTCGAATCGTTAACGGTTAACCGTTTTGCTTGGCCGTTACACCCGGTCACTAAGCGAGAAACGCTGGGCTCGTGCGATATCGTATATCTGATTTCTTGTCGCGGTTTCTTTTGCCTGGCAATATTGTCAGGACGAGTCGCGAGTGACAATTGTCGCGGAGCTAAATCGAAAGTTTGAAATCAAGTGTAAGGCGATTTTACGAGTTTTCCTTTGGGAGCGCCTATGGGGGGCAGATGCGTTACGCGACGCAGAGAGTATTCTGGTGTTCCTGCTGAATTTCGAGAACAGATTTAGAACAGTCATTCCGGTATCTCTGGACGTAGTGTAATGTTTTCTCGCACGCGGGATTTTAGGAGTAGCGAGAAGACAGCGGAAGGGAATGGGAGAAGATTGCTAGAGGCCCTTTAGGAGAGGAGCGGACGGCCGATGAGAGGTGAAATGAAAAGATGCGAGACTGTTGGTGTATGATGGCGACGAGGCCTGACATGGCGTATGTACCTTGGCTTGGCCCCTGCGCCTTTGGCTTTGCGATTCGTGCACAACGTGCATACACTTTGTAGCCTCGTGTCAGCTGACTAGTCTTCAGGACGCGTTTAATCTCTGTGAAACTGTACAACATCCTTCCCCAAGTATAATACCTGTAGTATGCTGCTTGTAGGTCTAATTGATGGTGATCCTCGGAAAGTCTACCAAATGAATGTATCCACGAGATGAAGCAGGATTCTGAGTCAAGTGCACGAGCACGTTTTCGTTATTCGGTCGATTAATTGAAATTTGAGAGTTGCACTGAGGTCTCTGTCTGGACATCGGAACGTCGTTGAAGAATATTTTATTGGAAATGAGAGATGGGCGTGTTTCGTTTCCTGATACACTGGGTACGTTGGTGTAGAAGCCAACGCGCGCGCGGCTGATTTACACACGACGTGTATTCATGTGGAATCATTTGAGACTCCATGTGGCTGGATGGCATCGTATTATTACGATCTCGTGTATTAGCCGTAACCGGTAGACTTTTCGCTCTCACTCGTATACACTTGGTAACTTTGCCCCCCTCCCCCCTCCTCGCTGCCTTCACCATCTTTCCTTTCTACGGCGTTTGGGTGTGCCCAAAATTTCTGGAACACATCATTTGGATAGTTTGAAAATCATTACGAGGATAACTGTGTTTGACCACGGATGAGCGAGAGAGAGAGAGAGAATCCGCGATATATGTATGTAATAGAAGAGTGGAAAACGTAAGAGAAGTTTGGCCGTTGCATCGTTTCTTTGTTATTGCTTTACTTTACTCAACAGGGTCACGCCTGGCAGATTTTCCTATTAGCCAGGAAATAAGAGTATATATAGACACAGTGCGATACGTTGTCGACAGTATTTTTTCTCCACATCTTAAGGATGGCGTTGAGGAAGTTTCTCCGTGTATAACAAGATACGTATATGCATGAAGAAAACAGTTTGAAACAAAGAGACGAAAGTAGAGAGATAAACAGCGTGGAAGCGCACATGCAGGCAGGTTGGCGGTTAGACGTCCGGCGTGCGACGTCCGTTACCGTTCATTCGGGCACCTGCCAAGTTAAATTTAGACGGGTCCGGCACTGGGCATCTTGTTCTCGACCTGACTTGGGATAGAGAGCCAAAGGCTGTCCTCTAACAGTGCGTACATCTCTCTTACATCACTAGACCTGCCTCGCTTGCCTCTTTGCTTGCGTTTCTGTTTTATGCCTGCCTGAATGCCTGAACAACCTTTTCTGCCCGCCCGAGGGTTAACCGTCACCCCCCCCTCTCTCTCTCTCTCTCTCTCTCTCTCTCTCTCGCTCGCTCTCGCTCTCGAGCCCTTCTTCCTCATTATATGCCCACTCTCTCTTACTCCGTGTTTCTAGGTTATTTCTCAAGGATTCTTTGGCTCATTTCGAACGCGTCGAAAATATATAAGACTAATAGCATAGGCGCCTATACGCAAACGTGCGCACAGATTTATCTTTAATATCTCCTAACGTGAGTAAGGATTTATCTCAGGCATGGTATCCTGTATTTTCCGTACCTCCTGTTCCGATAATAGGTACACCCTACTATAACTTGCAACTGTTATCTAGACAACGACCTTGCCCCTTCCTCCACGCCCCTCTTCATCCATACTTTTTTTGCAATCCACTGCCTACTTGCAGTTTGCTTAGCCCAATATTCCTCGGGAACTTCTATTTGAACTTACGCTTGTACATAAGTACCTGCAATATACTTCGTTATTTCCACATGACATTCACATGAGTTTTTTTTTAATTTCGAAGCCTAGTATCGTTAATACATGGAATGCAGAACGACAGAGAATGTAAAAGAAAGAAGAAACCACGTAAAGTTCGGAAATTAAATAAGCTACTAGTAGTTGCGCATAATAAGACTTCCTCCCTGCGGTGAAACCTTTTGTGGCTTAAGCTCTGCGATCCGTTCCAGCTCTACTCTTCCGTTTCTTGTCTGGCAAGCGTCCTGGTGATGCTCACTAGTTATCGTCAACGAGCCAATCGATCTCTTGGCCGACTTGGCCCACAGTATGTACGAACTGCTCGCGAATAAGGTAGCAATCGAAGATGATTTCTCATAGAAATCGATTCGCCGGTCTAACTTGAGTCGGTATGTTGAATCTAAATATTCCTATATTCCTACAGATATACATACACTCGCGTCTAAAATTGTTACGCACTGCAGCACGGGTATCCTATCCTATCGAATCGTAGCTTCGCGCCATTCCTTACATACACGTATATACTATTTCTTTAGGCACCATTATATGCATAAGACGATGTGCGTCCTGTAGCATAGCGTGCTATACTCTATACTACGCTATAGTACAGTATAGTAGAGTATAGTATAGCATAACACAGCATGGCAGCATATCGTGCCAGCAGACTGGATGTCCGGAATGCGAGCGGAACCCGTTTCTATGAGTCGAGCTGGCTATTGACAACCTCTCGGTGCTACTGATCCTCTCGATTCCTTAACACTTGGGCATTGTCTCTTAATGGAAACTGTAGATGCCAACCGACTGGCAAGACTAGAGTAGCAACAAGTCCACGCCGTATCGCTGCATTAAATATATCCCCATTCGTTTTAAGTTGACCTAATACACCAATTATTGCGCGATTCCCCACCGCTGATACTTGCTCGTTACACGTCGGCACATCGTCCAGGATACCCTCCACCGAATTCCGTCGCGAGTGAACGTAGGCTATAGGCAAGAGAGAGAGAGAGAGAGAGAGAGAGAGAGAGAGAGAGAGAGAGAGAGAGAGGCTGACTTTCTTCTCTCCCAACAAGTCCTCGGTACGACGACCCCCTTCATTATTCCTTTTCTTTTCTTGCAGAGTTGGGGAAGGTCGTTCGGAAGACATGTCGTTCCCGGGAAAGAAATTTTGGAGGTACAGAAGAAGCTGGTGCGCACTGCAGGAGAAACTACGTGGAAGAGGTGCGTCTCGCGTTACAAAGTGCCATTAAGCCAGGTGCATCGCCGTTTGTGATCGTGAATAAAGTCGCGAGTGAGAAGTGCAAAAGTGACAGCCGACGCTTGGCGTCCTGCGGAAAACATGAGGTTCGACGTGGTTGATGTCTTCGTCATCGCTACCTTCGCCTCTGTTCTCGTAGTCCTGGCCATCGTTCACCTTGCGTCCCATCCAAACGCTCGCGCTCTTCATCTTCCAATCAGTCGTAAAATCTTTTCAAGATCTCTGCGTTACAACTCGGTCCTTCCGCTATTAAAAATCTTGGCGGGAATCGTACTCAGGGATGCTGACAAAGTCCTAACGGTACTATTCTGCATCCTCGCTGTTCTTCCCATCGGCACCATCAACATTTGCCTGCTCGATAGAGTTCTTCTTCCTCTTTTCACAAAGCGCCCCTCATCCTCCATCCCACTCGGAACGGTTATCGTTGACCGATTCTTTCCGATCGACAATGTGAGATGTGCGTGACTCGAATTTTGGACAAGAGTAATATGCGTTTTTCGCGGACGCAGAGGTTCTTGTCGAGGAAGTAAATTCAATGCCATAATGTTGGAGCTAGTGTGCAGCAATTCATTGAGTCCGGGTACGTGCAGTGCTCAAGAAGAATCGGACATTTTTCTAAAGCGCGTAGAAACGCGATTTCTCGTTACGTGAAGAAACGAAAGAGAGAACGTTGCGTCGTATCGTATCGCACGCTAGATCCCATTGCGTTGCGTCGTTGTATTCGTCGGGATTGGACGGTGGACGGACCGAGAGTGTTACAAGGGGACGGATAGAAATACGAATAATACGAATAATATACACGAATCGAACGTATAGACATACTAAATATTGAGATCGGGCGACCGTTTCGCCATGTGAGAAGTTCCTGCTCGAGAGACTTAGCGGCGAGTTATGCTGAAGCACATACTGACGGGGCAGCCGTCTGTAGCGGGCTCCAGGTCTCAGAACGATTATCAGTCGACGGGGACGCTCTCTGCCATCGGCGAGAGTAATCCCTCTAATCAGCAGCAACATCTGCATCATCATCATCAGCAACAGCAGCAGCACTCGTATATTTTGCAACATTCGCTGCAGGAACAGCATCATTACGGCGGAAGAGTCCTCGCAGGCGGTACGGGACGGATCGGCAGCGACGTCTATGATTCGGTGGTGCATCCTTCTCAAAAAAGTCACCATCCGAGCGCGGCTACACCTTCCTCGGCTCATCGACATCCGCTGAACCATTCGCAGTCGAGCGTAAACAATCTTTCGCAGAGATTAAATCATTCCCACGCGTTAAATCTTTCGACTCTGTCGACTTCAAAGCATTCCGTGAACAGCGTGAGCCCAGTTGTCGGAAGCAGCGGGAGTAATGCCGCGGTTAGGATTCCCGTGTCACCGCTGCCCCCGGCGCCACCTTCGCTACCGCCATCGCCGCCGCCGCCGCCTCCACCGCCACCGCCTCCGCCACCCCCGCCATTGGCTTCACTGATACATCATCCACAGAAGACGACGAGCACGTCGTCCTCGTGTCTCCACCAGGACAGGGAGAGATCCAAGGCCAACGGCGGCTTCGACATTTCGCGATTGTCTCGGCTTCCAAGTCAAGCGACACCCTCACCGGCGCCGCCGCCGCCGCCGGTATTACAACAAGGAGCAGTAACGACGGCAGGGACCGTGCTGCCCCTGAACGCGTCCTGGTCATCCTCCTCCCTGTGCCGGAACGAGCTCACCAGAAGGACCGAGGCCGGCGTCAAGGAGATGCTCACTTCCCTGGGTTTGCTCTGCCTGGTGTCTTTGCTGCTTGCGCTGCTCTCGCTCATATTTCTCCTGAAGATATCGCCGTTAACGGTTACGCCGAGCAGCCTGATCAGTCCCGAGGAATACGCCATCGTCTACGAAGCCACCCTGGCCCTCTGTGCACTCGCACTCTCTTTGAACCTGTGCTGCCTCCTCGTCTGCGCCATACAGTTCCTTTTTGCTGTCAAACTCGTCAAGTCCTCTTACCAGGGACAAAGGTATTCAATTCTTTCAGTTTCTTTCACTTCTTTTCCATATTTTTTATTTTCTCTTCTTAGAAACTCACAATTAGTATCCGCTCGGGCTTCCTACATGTGAATCGCGTTAAGGATTTTCCTGAAAATTGTGTCCCGAGGCGACTCGTTTCTAAGCTTGCGAAAAGTAGACACGTATTTTTGCGAACAGTATTACGATAACTTGAAATTCCTCTTACGCTCAGGTTTCTTGGTAATTTACTTCAATATACTTGGCCCATTAGAGTCTCGAATGTTCCTTTCGAGTGTATTTATATATATTAGCTGGGCCATTCTTCCAGAACCAACAAGTACCTGCAAAAATCATCGATCAGTAGAGTATGCGCTGTCGGAGGATTTTTCATTAGCATACCAGTCTTCTTAACAGGTGAGTATAGTGAGTGATTCTTCATTCCTTGGAATGGTCGTGTCTCACGTGTTCCCTTCTCTTCTGTCTTTCTCTCTCTCTCTCTCTCTCTCTCTCTCTCTCTCTCTCTCTCTGAACCAACAAGTACCTGCAAAAATCATCGATCAGTAGAGTATGCGCTGTCGGAGGATTTTTCATTAGCATACCAGTCTTCTTAACAGGTGAGTATAGTGAGTGATTCTTCATTCCTTGGAATGGTCGTGTCTCACGTGTTCCCTTCTCTTCTGTCTTTCTCTCTCTCTCTCTCTTTTTTTTTTAATTCAATTAAAGACAAAGTCAAACGTGGCATTGGATTGGACATCATTTTCTCCTACAAAGTATTCATGCTTCATGGTTTTGCACAGTAATACACATTTTTCCAGTTTAGTATACGGGGTGTCCCATCCAACGAGTCGTCCAGAGAACACATGACGTCCTCGGGATATCCCGATTCTATCCCGAATGTCCGAAAACTGTCCTGACAATCTTAGGATAACCTCGGGATGTCCCGCTTCGGTTAGATATTTATCAGTCTCGGCATAAGCTATTAGGAACATCCTTAGTATATCCTCAGAAGCAGCAGTATGTCCTGAAAGAATTACAATATACAAATTTATTTTCGTATATTTTTTAGATTTTATTCACATAATGTACATAAAATTTATATTAAGTACTGAATATAAATGAGGGTATATATTTCGTAACTGAACCACGATTGCGATTATTAAATTTTAGCTAATTGTATCGGCTGACTTCGGCTTGGTAGTTCTTTATTTTCTTGACAATTCAGAGGTTTCACGCGTCCTCTCTTGCACTCTTTCTACCCATTCGACTTTCTAGTTTGCACCCCCGCAAATGTGCATGCGGAACAGTAACATCGTGATGTCATGTGAAACGTTTGAAAAATTAATGAAAGAGAATCGGAACACGTTCCCATGTAAAATTCCAATTCATCTTTTGGATATTTGATTTTTCTTCGAGTCATTAATTACCAATAATGCCATGCACAGCCTTCCGATTTATTTTTATTAAAAAAAAAAAAATCAATTTTTTTAACCAGGCATGATCCTGTACACGTTCATCCAGTTTCATTCGACGCCAGCCATCGTGACATCGATTTTCATAGGATTGGGCATAGTGTTTTGTGGCTGTGCCATGGTTCACAATGTCTTCGTGTGGCAAAAAGTGAGTATTCCATAAAAACTATATTTTCTGTCGTATTTCCCATGGCTTCTTTTACTGCGATAAAATATTAGTATTATCGGCAAGAGAGACACTATCGAACTGAATCCCCATTGCGTAGCATATCAAAACAAACTGCGTCGTTCGTTACAAATGCGTGTCAGTAGGTCATCTCGTTATCACATGCCCCATCTCCCTGCACGTGCCTTCTTTAAATAATTTTCACCGAGTCCACATTCTTTGTATTTGATTTCTAGGAGAAAACGAATGCCATGAAGGCCTTGGCACGTGAACAGTGTGAGGCAGCTGTACAGATGCAACGACAGCATCAGCTGCAACAGCAGCACCAGCAGCACCAGCATCAGCATCAGCACCAGCACCAGCATCAACACCGTACTCTAGCGCCCGTTCATGTAATAGGAAACAATTGTGCATCTATTAGATTTGGTTCGACTCTGCTTTCTCCCCAATCTACAGCAACTTTATCATCCCAGAACCGTTGTCAACAACAGCAACATCAGCCAAAACAACAGCAGCATCAGCAGCAGCAGCAGCAGCAGCAGCAACATCATCATCATCATCATTATCATCAACAGCAGCAGCATCATCAACAACAGTATCAACATCAGCGACATGTTTCAATGTCCCCACCTTTACTAATTTCCTCGCCAGTAAGTCTAACTCAGACAACGCATAATCATCGGAACATTCCCACAACTCCTGTACCGGGAGACATATCTCCATCCAGTCCAAGTGGGATCAAATCCAACGGTAACGGCAGATCCTTGCAACAGCTGCAGCTGCAGCAACATCAGCACCTGCCACGGGAAGCCAGCGCCAGTGGAAGCATAAGCCCTGGTTTACCAGCCGCCACGTTAGATCTGAGCAGTGCGGCTACGACGAATAGTCCTCATGAACTTTCTACTCTGGTCTGAGGATCAGGGGACGCTGTGAGAAATTGAGCAGCCTGTTGCGTATGGCGAGTCAAATATAAATTTCGAAGTTGGTACGTCGATTCTTTCAAGTACTTACTCGCTGGAAGATCTGGACTGGTCTCGTATCGTATTGCGAAAACCTCTTTTGTGTTTTCTTGGTGTTATGCCACTTAGAAAGATTAACCTAACGTATCGGGGTGGTCAGTGGAGGCAGGAAGAAAGTAATTGTTCAAGTAGTATTATGCCGTTTGATAATACGAGAGAGCATCCTGCTTCATAAGGTGGATTTTATCGTTCGAATGTTCCCACCGTTACTTTGTACCATTTTAATAGATACGACTTACGCGAGCATTTACAGCATATGTTACGATAATTTTAGCGTCACATAATACGATAAGGTATAATAGGCAGTGCTGTCCAGTGATAACGATATCTTGAGATAGGAGCTTACTATCTCTCTGTTTGTCTCATGTCTATCGCCACTCGATTCGTGGTGGTTATACAATCCGTTGACCGTATACAAGAGAAACGTTGACGGACAACACTGTACATTTACTTCGATGCGACGAATCAAAAGAAGAAAAAGAGTCTGTTTCTACGGCTTTTCTCGTCCCAACAGAGGTGGTGCAGGAGTGTACATTGCAATTGTCAGAGTGTAGAAAGGGAGGTGTGTCTTCTTAAGAGCCTGTTGCAATTTTTTCGATGGAGAATCTCGATAGATTGCGAGACGCTTGTAAGATAGAGGATTCACAGTTAGGTTTTTTTTTTACGTGCGTTCAAATTGAAGTGCCTGCCGAAAAACGGCACTGTAGAATACTTTTTGTACATCAATAGAATGTTGTCCTCATTATGCCTAGCAGTCAGCGTATGTGGTTAGAAGTTTCGTATCCACTGGTCAGAGGGTTAGAAAGTGAAAATATGTAAATTGCTTAATAATATAACACCCGTATTTTTTTTTGGTTCTTTTGTCGCGTTGTAAGTAGAGTAGTTATAATCAATTTTAGTGGCGGATCGCAACTCGTGACGTCAGGTCGATTACGGGCGGACTAAATAAATGATTGGGTCCATGTATAAGATGCAGTACAAAAGTGTTTTAACTTTGTGTACTCATTATTTTTACTATGTACTTGGCGCCCTTACATCGCCGTGAGAATAATAAATCACGGGTACGGTACGGCCATTAGTTTTTCATTTCTTATTCGAAAATTACTGATGGATCTTCTCGGGTATGTCATTCAAGATCGTTCAATATCGAATGGTACGGTGGATTAAACTCAGAATAAATCTGAGGTGATAAGAGCCTTTCAAACGTCTCTCAATGCTCTTAAGGGGACTAGGGGAATAGCTGATCAATTTAAAAAATTTGCCTTGTTTCACATACTGCAGATCATTGCACGCTAAATAAATAATGTATAACGCGAGGGGTGCATCAATGAGCGTACGTTCGTCGTAAATTGGTCTGCGTCTTGACGTTTTGCTGCCAAAAGTTTTGCGTGCTCATCGCCACGAAGCTACGATACACTTAATCGTTTCTCTATTTTACAATACATCGATATATGAGTATGGTATAAGTGATTGTTGTCACAGTTGGATGAATCTATGGCCACAATTCCAGTCAAGCCGAGTTAAGAGATGAAAAACGTGTACTGTGCGTAAATAGATTAGTTAATTATAGATATCGCACCATGTAGTTCTATTCTTATTCGTGTCCGGTGGAAACAAAACCTATGGGTACTGCGATTTGATGAAAAATGTGAACAGAATTTAAGTTTCAAATGAATTTTTAATAAGGCTACTTTGTCAAACATGATTCATGGTAATAGTACACAAGAAATCTTTTCTACAATACATATAAACAATTAACTAAAGTTTGAGATGCGCGAGAAATAGATAGCACAAAATATTGGAGGGAACCAAACATTTTTGGCGTCAGCACTCCCTAGTCCCGTTAATAGAAAAACGTACAAATATTTAAAAATGATATTGCTAGATTATGTAACAGAGCGGTACAAATGCATTTTAAATGCTTATGCATATTGTAAATTTCCTTTATGTAATAACTGTTATTATAAATGTCTTGCCAATCTCTCGTGTACAACGTATTTTTTTAAGTCAAATCGAATGCACACCACTGATAAATGCTTCCACAGAAGGAATCGGACTGTCAGGTAAGATTCCATGACCCAAGTTGGCGATGTAGCGAGATTTCCCGAAACTTTTGACCATGCGCGCTCCACGTTCGAATACCTCGTTCTGAAAAGCAAATAATGCCGCGTAATTGTCACTGTATGACTAATATTGCCGTAGCATAATATTTTATAGTAAAACAGAAAAATTATCCTACGTGTCACTCACCTCAGTAGCGTACAGAGCGCAGGGATCCATGTTCCCTTGCAACGTAACGTTAGGACCCAATCGTTTTCTCGCTTCCGCAGGGTCCACGGTCCAGTCCAGTCCTATCACTTCGTAATCTCCATCCTTTGCAAGCATTTCCAAAGATTTAAGTGTTGCCCCTTTTGGAAAAATTGTCTGAAAGTCCAGCCAGTTGCTTTTATTATGAACAATGAAAATACAATGAGCAAATATGTATATGGTAGCATTATGAGATAGAGGTTGAGCCAACCATGGGTACTTGCGGAATATTCTTTTCATTAAGCTTCCTTCTCACATTTACACTGATCTCCTTAAGATATTTGTAAGAAAACTCGCGAAATAGAGCATCGTCTAAATAATCACCGTTACTTTCGAAAACCTGAAGCAACTGCAATGCAATTATGCATAAGTGCGGAGCATGTTTCATCATGTGTCATGTGTACTAAAAGATATTCTTGTAGTTACATTCACTTACCTGTGCACCGGCTTTTATTTGCATTACCAAGTAATCAATGATAATGTCAGTAAGGAGTTGTAAAAGTTTGTGTGATGCTTCTGGATATTTATAGAGCCAAGAGCGTGCCTGGGCCATTGTTGAACTACCACCACCTTGGATCATGTATCCCATTAACGTCCACTGGAATAATGGTTTAAAATATGTCACTGGACCAAGTGATGATTTCTCATTCATTATTTGGAACACTCACCGGAGCTCCAGTGAAACCAATAAGCGGTACTTTTCCCTGTAGACCCTGTCTGGTTAATGTAATTGCATCGGCCACATAGCCAAGCACCTTCTCCACATCGGGTCTCACTAATCTTGAAATGTGGGACGGATCCGATAATGGATCTGGTAGTACCGGACCCTGCAATCAACTCACTGAGTTTTTCAGTTTTTAATGGAAACACAAGGGGTCTATGCCACGTACCACACCAGGTCTCATTTCAACCACCAATCCCATAGCCTGCGGTATAACTAGAATATCTGAAAATATGATGCTTGCATCTAAGTCAAAGCGTCTAATAGGCTGAAGTGTGACTTCACATGCTAACGTGGGAGTTTGACAAATGGAAAAGAAGTCGTGTTTGGATCTTGTTTCTCTGAACTCCGGAAGATATCGTCCTGCTTGTCTCATTATCCAAACTGGAGCTCTGTCAACTGTTTCACCTCGCGCGGCTCTGAGTAACCGATCGTTTAGCAGCGGTGGAAAATTGTGCTCCGTCATCCTAAGGTAAATGTGCGAATCGTTAGAATTATATTTAGTGATTATCCACATAACGATACTCTTTGTCCGAGAATGGCTCTCAGGTACATCATTCGGTGCATGTGCGACTGCAATTAAGTCGTACGATTTGTAAAATTTCGTATACGCTCTTGTAGGCAGTGCAACGATATAATAAAGTGTGTTTCGATGTTGTCAAATAATGTAATGTATCTGTTCATATATGGAAGCAACAGTTGCTACACAGAGAACTCTTATTTCTTCTTACTTTCTTCGTTGACGATAATTTGATTAACAGTCTGGATATTTGTTCACGGTATGCAGTCTATTATCCACGGAGTTGCACAAGGAGCGGTGGTGGTAAATGATGATGAACTTTATGTATGCAAAAGTTCTGCACCTACTTATACAATACTACTTGGTTTGCACGTGACACAGCAGAACTCGCTTGTATGTACGTTACAATGTTATATCACCAGCATCACGACTAGTCACGATTACAGTCCCTGTCACGACTGATCACAACCGCCACTATAAGAGCAGTTTTAGGCGATACCAGAAGCATGGCGCTAAATCGCAGTGTTGTGCATCTCCCTGTTCATCTCTGTACGATTGAGAACGATACTAGAATGGGCACCGTGGCGAATAGGTCTCTGTTCTCCTTGTTACCTACACTTTCTCCACTTTACAAAAAGTGCAAATTCTTATTAAATTATATTTTTAAGTAACCAATAAGTATCTGCACTTTTCGAAAAGCGCAGAAAGTATAGGTAACGAGACAGACCCGGTATTTACTATTTTCGCCTGGCAAATTGTACGAATCTCTAGAAATTCATCAAGTTGGACCTATGAGTTGAACAAATCTTGAGGTCCATGAAAGAGATGGCGGCACGCGCGCTCTGTATGGGATATTACTAGTCGCCGGGAACTGGGAAGGCAGTTTGGATTGCGCTGAATATTTTGCGATATTAAATCTTTATTTATTTTATACGTTTTTCAGACTACTTTTACACGATGATCTTAAACCAGTTTAGTTAACACTGATCTAAAGGAATAGACAAATCATAGACATTTCTACTTGTAAGTTTAGATCAGTATTAACTAAACCGATTTAAGACCGTCCTGTGAACGTAGTCATAGTCTCACAGTCTTAGTTAAGTAACAATTGCGTGTAAGAAGACTAGTAGGAATCATCGAGAGTAAACTAAAGGTCCGTTCTTGCAAACGTTTTTACGTGCTCTGTGGTGTTCTGCGCTCTATGCACTATGCGCTCGCCGCTCATTTTTAAAAACATCTATCTGTAGTGTTACGGAGCATGTGAAAAGGCTTGTACGAACGGACCTTTGACGGGCTACACTCTACGTGAAGTTCCTAGGGTTTACCTGACGCTGCTGTAGTTTTTTATATGGTCTCGTTCAATTGACTGCGTTCAGCAGAAAACTGCGAAAACAGCATTCACATTCGATTGGTCAATTGATTGTAAATTGTACATAGTTGTAAAATCTGATCAATTAGATATCTTTGCTTTTGCAGCTCTGTGTCTGCTGAACACAACAATTGTGAGATTTGTTTCTCCATCACATTCGTTCTTGCATTGGCTAAAATGGGCCAAGGCTTCAAAATTTCACATTCGGGGTATGTTCCGAAATTCAGTAGTCAGTACTACGATTATAGTTTTGTCTCAATTTATCTGCAGATGTCTCCGTAAGGCACAACTATACTCTCAGTATTGTCAGTAAATTTCGAAACGTACCCTCGATATATGCTGCTTATACCAATATAAGTAATGGATGAGTGAACTATTGTGATATCATAAGTATTGAATAATATTAAAGGGGAAAAAAAGTAGACAAAGAAAAGAAGCATTAAGATCGGTATTATTGTTGAGGAGTAAATGTATACACCGGATACTTTGGAGCGAAATGACTTCTCAGACCAAAGATATACTCTGACTCGTCACGTTCACGAAGACTTTTCACGCTGTACACCGAATCTTCATAGCTTGGTGGAGCTGTTGGAATATATTTTACAAATTATTATATATTTATCTGCGCATTAAATGCAGTTACCGTGCTAGAGATATTTCTTTCTAATAACGAACAAGGAAGTAACTTATGCGTGTATCTAGTTTGGTACTTACGCAAACTCGGATACAGATGGGCCATCGGTTGGAGGGGAGGCAATATGTGTGCCTCACTTGAAGAGGGTGCTTTTGGGGCAGACGGTGAAATTGACGGATAGCCGACGGTACTTCCTTGATAATTCAGCAAAGGTACCGTGCCGATGAATACTAAAATATTTTTTTTAAGATTGCGGTGATACCTACAACACACTGTGATATTAGCATCCGCCTGTAACAGGTCTTCGGGCCGTATGGAACGATCAAGCGGCTTTTGAAGTTGTCTATACGAAATGCACAATACTAACCAGCCGGAAACGCAGGCTTCCATTTTCAAATTGTACTCGAGGTCTATTATACGACAATTGGAGAGATTTGATGGTGGAAGCGGTGGGACCTCCAATTCCTGCTCGTACATCGCATTGTCGCCAGCTCTTACGGGACCTTTAGCAATTTCGACGACCACAAGCTCCTCGGACTTGGACTCGGTGCGCGGTGTATCAGCGTGAAAGGTCACCATTTTCAATAGAATGAATTTCATCGTGTCGACGACGACGTTCGAATGATTCTCCAGGTTAACCCTTATGGGAATCCGTTGGCCAGGAACATAGCCCCGTATCGGGATCGATACCTTGACTGTCAGAGGTTGTGAACCACAACAGAGGCAGCAGAATGTTTTACTCATTTCCTCCTGTATCGGCTCCTACTTAAAAATTCTCATTAAATTATATGCAAATATTACCGGCATTCTGCAAAGCTCGAGAATATATAAGTGAGTAAAAAAGAGACTTACCGAGGCTTTGGGTTCCTGATTAAGATCGAAGGACGAAACCACTGTAAAAGCGACCTTTGTTTCCTGATCGAATTTCCAAGGCCGGTCTAGAATAGCTTTTACCGTGTATCGAACATGACCAAAATCTGACTCGAAACTGCTCGGTAAATCTGGTGGTAAGGTCACGGAAAACTGATACTTATGCTCGCCCGCAGGTAATTCAATTTCCGATCCTGCAGCAAAATTCATTGAAATTTCTTATTATAGCTTTGGTACTTCGATATTGCACATTATGTTATGTCTATATATATCAATCCGTCAGTGCCATAACATGCGATGCACGATACAGCATTGTATGACCCATTAAATATTGTATCTATCTACAAAGATATAATAATATATTATACGTAATATGACTATAGTCACAGAACAGGATTAAATCCATGTAGTACCTCTTAAAGATAGTTAAAGTGTTAAAGATATACAGGTAATATTACTCGTTACCGGCGAACGAGCCGAGAACGTAGTATTGGATGTTGAAGTATTCTTCGTGTCCGGTGACGGTTTGAGTCTCGTTCTCGTATCTTCCTTCGTTATTCAACTCTTGTTTATCCGACGACCAACAGGTGTTGGCCACTCCCTTTGCTTTTACATTGATACCTAAAAACAATATAAGAAATTTGAAAATTAACGTGTATCGCAAGAAGCGAGTGCGATTTTCTGTTTAGCTCCAAAGGAGGCCTCAGCATTCGCGCGACGCTTACAACACATGCATGCTCATGGCAGTGACGAAGCGTTATTATTACACGCGAAGCAAGGAGAAGCCTCGCTGAAATTGCGTCTGGACGCGGAGCACAATATATTATTGTGTGTCTGTATGTCATGTCAGAAGCGTTAAATAATACATAGTCGAGGAGTACAGAGAACCGGATGGGAAATTATGTCCATCGGTCCATTTATTGCGCATGAGGATCTATCGCCTCAATTCCTACGATTCATTTTCTAAAATTAGACGGAGCACGCACAATGCACAACGCACAACGCACAATGCACCTCGTCACCTTTGGCGCCCGGATGCATCGTATTTCTTTCTCTCTTATTTTATTGTATATTCCCCGGTAGCCGTTTTCGGCCCTCGTACGAGCCACACACACCTGATGCTCCAGTGATATGCAATGCGAGTCGTATTTTCTTTCTTATTTATTGACACTCACCTCGAAGCTTCTTCGGTCTATCTAACAGTAGAAGGATTCGGCCTGTAACGGTTTGTCCGCTGTAGTACGTACTCCACGGGTTATCGAATAGAATTTTGAAGTCCTTGAGAGCCATCCTGGCTACGTAGGAGGGCGCAGCAGGAATAACGAGATACACACACACAGACGCTCTATCGTAAAGAAGGCAACGTATCTGGCCTCTTACTAGTGCCTGCGTTTCACACTATTCGGCGGGAGGAGCAGCGCGCGTTTTACTAGAGTTTCTCTAGTAAGAGTCCGGCCAACGGTGGGGCTTCTTAGTGATTGGCTGCGCCATATTGTGGGCTCTTTCCGGAATAGAATGATGTGTGTGAATACGTATATGGAAGAGATTCGCATTGTGTAGTGTGGGTAGCGTTAAGCCCTGTACGGCTGGTGTCCTGTACTTGGCGCGAGACTTGATCGAGTGTCGCACAATGTCATGGTGGCGCCAAACAAACCCTTGATATGGCGTCCCTTCTGAGTGTTGGCCGGACTCTCACTAGAGGGACTCTATGTTTCATAAGTCAGCATCGGCGCCGGCGGCGACAAGGGATTCTAGGCGCGACGGCGGCAGCAGCAGCGCATCAGGCCGGTTCACGCGCTGTCTGCGCAGTCTCCTGTCTCGTTCGGTCACGTTGTATGGCTCGGGCGATAACGTCACTCTCATACGCCAGCCAACTCTGGGATACTATTCGACAAGACGATCAAAGACGATCCAACAGCCAAACGGGATACTGTTGCGAGGGACTTGAGATGACCGCGCGAGATTCAAGGATTCTACCGATGGCCGAACTGCTTCCGTCCTACGAAATCACAACTATTTCTCCCGATCTCAAATGATCTCCATCGCGTCGTCTATGCATCAAGTATTATTATCTCCAAGTTGAGATTTCATTACACCCTTTAAGTGTACAATAGAGATTGACTGTCGTCAGAAGCACCTGGTATCAAGAAATCTGATGGTGGCAGGAACTTTGCATGGCAATTCCTGATAACTCTTCTTTTTCCAGAATCCTTTTATTGCTCGTAGCTTAGAGTGCGTTATGCGAAAAGATGCTGTTCAGCCAGAAGAAACTTTGGCAAGTTCCGAGTGCTTCCGTACGAGTGATACGTATGTTAGGTACATACGTTCTCCCAAGGGAAAGTTACGCGCAAGCTCCGCGATATTGATCCGTTTCTGATGTGCCAGTCGCGGCGGCTAGCTGCTGCACGCGCTGTAAATATCAGCCTGATTGTGCCGAGCATCAAATACGCTCGTGGATAAAGAGAGTCTCTTCGTGAGAAAAACGGCCAAAATGGTCGAAGGACTTTTGGAAGACGGTCCCCTCATCCGACCGGTGGATTCTGGTAAGTCTCACAGATTCTGTTGCTTTCGAAAAATGAAAAACCGGCTGTCTTACCATCTACTTGTGCGAAACCTAAATATAACTGCGAGACCTGACGTCTGATCGATCGGTTCTCCGAAAGAGGAATTCTTTGGCTGCACTGGAGTCCATTCAAAATTTTCCATATGGAAAGTTAGGGTATGCTATATTATTACGGTTTGGCTAGCAGCTAATCAAGCCAATGAAACATGGTATCGAACGAATTAAAAATTATCGAGTAAAATATGGTGAAATAAGAAGAACGGAGTATCGCGTTCAAAGATTTAAAGATGAGTAATTCTCCCCGCTGGGACCAATTTCGTGTCATGTGAAAAGTCATTTTATGATAATCTTTATTAAATTAAATCAAGGATATTAGTGATAAATTAAATGTTTATCTCATATGCCAATTTTTCCTATTCACGCATTATTTCCAATATGCTAATCGCGCAAGCGTCCGTCAAGGATATAACGTGAGAAGGTTATAAGAGACAGAGAGAGAGAGAGAGAGAGAGGGAGAGAGAGAGAGAGAGAGA